TGTGTGTGTGTGTGTACAGCATTAGTAGTCATAGTAGCTCAGAGGTACATAGTAGTTAAAGTGCTTAGCTGCTAACTTAAAAGGTGAGTGATTTGGACCCCCTACCTGTTCCACAGAATGAAAACGTGGCTGTCTGGTACAATAAAGATTATATAGCCTTGAACACCGTATGGGAAAGCGCTACTTTGTCCTGTAGGGTCTCTATGAGTCTGAGTCAGCTTGACAGCCATGGGTTTGGGGTCTGGTTTTAAGAATGGCAATTTGTTACTTGCTCTTCTTATTTTTCCCTTTCAAGAAAGCAGTAGTAATTACCAAAGATTTAAGAAAAAATGATGGGGGAAATTTTGAACTTCTGAAATTCTATCTTGGAAGTTTGTTTTTCATTCCATAAATAGTAAAAGACAGCCATTTTACACATTTAATGGAAATAAGTGTTGTGAGAAGCATAGTTAAAGAACCACTGTTATATTTTTACAATGATATCTTCATCACTGATTTTACTGTTTTCAACATGGACTGTCTAGTTACCGTATGAGAACATAAAATTTACTCGTTTACTTTCTTCATTTAAAAAAAAAGCCTATTGAAGAGATGCGACGTGTAATTGCAGATATTCTAACAGTGAAGAGTCAAGAAAAAGTTCATTTGGGTAAGTTAGTGACTTTGCTTTCCTTCAACTAAATTGTGATTTTATTCAACTTATTACAATACCTTTTTAATTTTTTCTCTTAATTTTTAAGATATGCAAATTGTTACTTTCCTCAGACATCTGTTTGGCCCGCTTCTGAGATAACAAGATTTATGTCCGATGAAGAATATTTTATTAGGAGACCTGATTAAAAATCTAGACTTGTCATGTCTGTGAAAGTTACTTCACCTCCTCTCTAGTCCTTATTTTCCTGACTTAAAAATTAAAGTGGGGCAGTTTGACAGCACTATGGTTAGGCATGGGACTGCTAAATACATGGTCATCAGTGCAAATCCTCCAGCATGTCTCCAGAGAAAGAGAAGGCTGCCTGTTCCCATAACAGTTTGAGACTGCGTGGCCGTGAGTTTTGGTTTGTGACTATAGAGAAGCTCATTCGAGAATTTTCCTGTCTGTCCTTAGTAGGTACAGATAAGATATGAGATTCATTAGCTATAGATGCATAAAATGTAGACATTTCCTAGACTCAGCTTAGATAAGCAATAAAACAAACAAACCCGTTGCCTTTCTGAGTCAAAGTGACCCTCTAAGACAGAACAACTGCCTCCGTAGGGTTTCCATGGAAGCAGACTATTTTCCAGGAAAACAGCTGGTGCGTTGAGCCAGTGACTTTTCAGTTAGTAGACAAGT